GAATGCCAGGAAACTGCGGGAATTTCGCATTGCAATTTCACGTGATGAAATTCCGGGTGGTATCCTGGCATACAGTTCTTTCCCACCACCTTAGCACAACATGGTAATATACTGATCAAAATGCTGGTTTAGCACAGCTCACAGGGGACTCACCAAGCAGGCAGTTCGGTGGCAGCCTGTGGACCAGTAAAACCGTCTTTGTGGGCCGCATCCGGCCCATGGGCCGCACGTTGCCGACCCCTGAGCCACAGCATCCTATAGACATGTTAACAGTGAGCCAGGAATGCCCCCAAGTGACAGCAGCAGCACTAACAGGCATTCATAGGTTTGGGTTGGAACCAGCGCCGGATTTACGTATAAACTAAACAAGCTATAGCTTAGGGCCACACTCTCTTGGCGGATCCCAAAGAATTTAAAGGGGGGGGGGACTGGATGTACATTTCCAAAATATAAGATAAAAAACAAATAAAATAAACCCTACTTACAGCAACAGTGTTTTGTGTTGTGTAGGCTCCTATTTGTTATGTGCAAATAGCTTTAGATACCTATTAGGTCAAAAAATCACCATATAACATATATTCAACACAAATAACAGCGACAATTTGTTGTTGACAAAGGACAGCTGGACATATAAAGGGCCCCATTACATTCAGTAGCTTAGGGCCTCATCAAACCTAAATCCAGCCCTGGTTGGAACAAAACACAAGCATCTTCTAGGATGCTTTTTCTTTTTAGGCAAAGGTTTTGGTGGAGAGAGGTATAGAAAGAAGGCTTTGATCTGCTCATTCCTTCTTCTCAAGTACAGTGGTACCTTGGTTCTCAAACGCAATCCGTTCCGGAAGACCGTTCCAGTTTTGAAACGTTTGAAAACCATTTTCGGCGTTCAGGTTCCGAAACGTTCATCAACGAGATGTTCAAGAACCGAGGTACCATTGTATTATTTTTATTATTGTTAATCAATTAATTAAATTACTCTACAGCCCTTCATTCGAAGATTACAGGGTGGTTTACAACATAAAAACAAAAAAAACCCACACCATAATAGCAAACTAAAAGAATGACCCGCCATACAGTTTAAAAATCCATAGGTTGTTTAATTAGCGAGAGGCCTGGGAGAAGAGGAATGTTTTTGCCCGGCGCCTAAAGATATGTAACAAAAGCGCCAGGCAAGCCTTCCAGGGGAGAGCACGCCACAAATGGGGAGCTACCACTGAAAAGGCCCTGCTCTCGTATTGCCCCCCCCTCCGACCTCTTTTGGAGAGGGCGTATGAAGCAAGGCCTCAGATGGTGATCACTGGGTCCAGTCTGTTCATATGAACGGAGGCAGCCCTTGAGGTATTGCAGTCCTGAGCCATTTAAGGCTTCACAGGTCAAAACCGGCACCTTGAATTGGGCCTGGAAACTAACTGGCAGCCAGTGCGGTCGGGTTGGCATTATATGCGCAAACTGCCTTGCCCCAGTGAGCAACCTGGATGCAGAATTCTGCACCTGCTTTAGTTTCAGAACAGTATTCAGAGGCAGCCCCGTGTATAACACATTGCAGTAATCTAACCTAGAGGTTAGCAGAGGCTCTCGTCTCCCATCCCACACATTACTTCTCTTGGTTCAAATAATAATAAAAAGGACTCAAAATTGTCATGTTGGTTTTTTTAAGAGATCTCACAGCTTTGCTTCTAAATCCTTCCACTCCATCCAACATGTAGGCAGAAGCGACGCTTTCAATAATCAGAGAGAAACTATCTTTGAGCAAATTAAATTAGAAAAAAAAGTTAGATGCCAGTTGTCTGATGGACGACTGAGTTACGCCAACAGTTCACTTCTCATTCTAAGAGCTGCCTTCGAAAGCAACAGGCCACCCACAGTACAACATAGTTATGCGGCTTTTAAAAACACACACTAGAAATATGCCAGTGCTCAAAAAGAAGTCCATTAAAGCTCAAGAGCGAGAGACATTAGAACCTGTCTTCCTTTTCCACTGTGCGGTGTTCACACCATACATTGAAAGCATATTACTGCCCCAAAATAATTACGGGAACTGTCATCTACCTGTCACAGAACTATAATTCCCAGCACCCTTAAAGAACTGCAGTTCCCAGGTATCTTTGGGGAAAGTCATGTGTTTTAAGTGCACTTTAAATGTATGATATGTATGCAGCCTCAGTGAAACCGCACCAAGTGTTTTCAAAACACATCCTTTCACATTCTTTGCACCTCTTGACTCTTAATTTCATTTTAGCTTGTCTCACTTGCTAAGCAGCAACAGCATTCTAAGCATTTAATACGAAAGTCCTCACAATGCCAGAGAACTAGGACATTATTATTATTCCCATTTTACAGAGAGGAACACTGTTCATGGCCACTATTTTGTGGCGTGAGTTATGACTACAGGTCTCCCACATCCAAGCCCAACGTATTAGGCAACAAACTACAGTGGTACCTCGGGTTAAGTAATTAATTCGTTCCGGAGGTCCGTTCTTAACCTGAAACTAGATAAACTAACAGGAAAAATTCGAAACCTGCAGGACCAAAGATTCACAGAAGACTGGTGTAAATTTACGGACTATCTGAAAAGTAATTGTGATGACCAGATTATGTTTGTAGGTTTGCAAGAAGTTTTGTGAGGTGAATTATTTGAATTATTGCAAAAAGGGATAAAGATGGGGGATTGTTAGTTATGATAATTAAAGGCAATATGAATTGAAGAAATGCAGAAGAAATGATAAGAATGGGGGATCATCAGAGGTGCTGATGGAAGTCCAAAAAGATTGTATAAGATGTGAAGTTCTGTGGTATGCATGATAATTAATATGTTAAAATTAATAATAAATTTTTTTTAAAAGTACTTAATTCGTTCCGGAGGTCCGTTCTTAACCTGAAACTGTTCATAACCTGAACCACCACTTTAGCTAATGGGGCCTCCCGCTGCTGTCGCACTGCCGGAGCACGATTTCTGTTCTCATCCTGAAGCAAAGTTCTTAACCCAAGGTACCATTTCTGGGTTAGCGGAGTCTGTAACCTGAAGCGTATGTAACTTGAGGTACCACTGTACATTCTGGCATCTATTTGCATTCTTTGTTTTACCAGCCTCCTCCAAGCTGGTGCCCCTCCAGATGTTTTCGACTACAATTCCCATCTACCCCAGCTGGTTTTTACTTGTAAAAGGAGCTGCAGGCAGCAGAGCTCTGCCTTTGGTTGGAGCAGTGTACTGTGGGAGTGGGGTGGCCCATTCTTCCTGCTCCCCATTTTCCAGGGGGTGAGGCAGGAATACAAGTTTCTGCGAGTGTTGAGCAGGTACCTGGCTGGCTGCAGAGGTGCGCAAGCCGCTGGGTGGGAGGAGACAGAGAAGAGCCTGTGGTAGTGGGCGATCTCCTACCCCAATCATGCAATTAGCCATTTATAAGCTGCTCTCATGTTGGTCCCCATATATAAACTGTAGTGATGTATGGAAGTGAGAGCTGGACCATAAAGAAGGCTGATCGCCAAAGAATTGATGCTTTTGAGTTATGGTGCTGGAGGAGACTCTTGAGAGTCCCATGGACTGGAAGAAGATCAAACCTATCCATTCTTAAGGAAATCAGCCCTGAGTGCTCACTGGAAGGACAGATCCTGAAGCTGAGGCTCCAATACTTTGGCCACCTCATGAGACGAGAAGACTCCCTGGAAAAGACCCTGATGTTGGGAAAGATGGAGGGCACAAGGAGAAGGGGACGACAGAGGACGAGATGGTTGGACAGTGTTCTCGAAGCTACCAGCATGAGTTTGACCAAACTGCGGGAGGCAGTGGAAGACAGGAGTGCCTGACGTGCTCTGGTCCAGAGAGTCACGAAGAGTCGGACACGACTAAACAACTAAACAACAACAACAAAGCTGCTCTCACTCCATCATTGCATCTTTTGCTCTAACTTCCCACCCAAAACTGAGACAACCCACCGACCACACACTGCTTCATTCCTGACCCTTTTCCCAACAGCTTCCTTCTCCCCCCATTTCCCAGCGGCTTCCTGATTTACTTTAAATTGCATTTTTTTCGCTTCATAAGCCACAATGGGGCTCTTTTAGAAATTTATCACGCTGCAACGTTTGTTTGTTTTTGTTAATCCTTTGGTTGCAGACTGCATGGAAACTGGAGCAAAAAGGAAGGATTTTATTTATTTCTTTAAATGTCACTGTCTGGCGCAACTGACTGGGTCCAGACACTGGAGCAAGTTTTGCAAATCTGGCCAACTTGCAAGGCCAGTGTGCTTGCGAGGCAAATACACTGAGCCTTTGACAAAGCTCTGGGGACCAACAAATGCCTCTCATTAGTTTCTCGTCTCTATCACTGTCGTTGCTGGCCAAATCGCTATCCTCCTCTTCGGAGGGACAATTGGGAGACCAGCTTGGAAAATGCTTTTGGAAACACTGATTCCTCTGGAAAAATCCGGTGGTGTGTTGGGGTTTTTATTACGGCTGGACACATGCAAAAAAGCCTGCAGGGTTGCAAGGCAGAACTGTTGGGCGAAAGAATAAAATCCCCAAACCTCAGGGGCGCAGAAACAAGAGCATTTATTTCAAATGCAGCAGGGATCAGATCTTGCAACTAGAGAAAATCCTCTCTCTCTCTTTTGCTGATGGGGAGGTAGAAGAGAAGCAAGTGTGTGCCCCCCCCCAGTTTCTTTCAAAAACAGCCGCTTCCATCTCCTCCTCCCTTCGCAATTCCAAACCACATCTGGTTCCATTCAGGGTTCTCCTACCTTCTTTGCAAAACGCAAGCTCGCAAACACCCCCCAAATGCCCCAACAACTGCCCAAAACGGGGTGGGGGGGGAGGGAAATCGGGGTGGGGTGGGGGAGAAGAGTGCATGCTAACTTTGTGAGGAGCCGACCCCCCCTTCTTTTTTTTTAAAGAGGCAGATCTACAAGTACCTCCTTTCACCACCCCCAACCTCCCGCCCTTCTTAAAAGACGCTGCAAGTTTGGAAGTGGAGGAAAAACAAACACATTTGGCCAACTCAGCCCTACCTGGGAGAAGAGCGCAGAGTCCGAGCTCAATGGTCAGAAGGATGCCCAGGGCGCATCTCAGCAAGCGAGGCCGTGGCGAAGAGGGGGGGCTGGGAAGTTTCATAGCTGGGGGGGGTGGGACTGATCTCCCTCTTCTCCTTCTTTTGCCTCTTTGCGCACTCTGTCTCTCTCTCTCTCTCTCCGTGCTGACTCAGGGTCCTTTCCTCCCCTCCTCCTGTTGGGAAGGTGATGGGAGGGTAAAGAGACAGGGAGATGGGAGAGAGACAAGGAATGCGCCCCCCCTTCCCCCCAAAAAAGAAAAAAGCGCCCCTCCCCTGCCTTCTAAGAATTCAGACGCTGCGTCACGAGCCCCACAGGCTGCCCAGCCAGTTGTGGGCGGAAGGGAAATGGGGGGGGGGCGGGGGGAGAGAAGCTTTCTCCAAGACTTCTCAAACTTTTTCCGCGGTTTGGCAAGCTGGATGTGCGCTAAGAGGAATTGCAACACGTTGCAAGTGAGGCGGAGGGGGACGCAGAGGAGGAAAGGAGAGAGAGAGAGAGGCTCTGGTTCCTGTTCTACCCCAAGCCCTTCTTGCAAGAGGGGGGGCGGGAAGCAAGCTCTCTCCCTCTGCCCACCTTAAAAATCAAGAGCATTTCTTCCCACCGCAGCCGCACTTTTCAAAGACACCTCCTTTTCCCTCCCAGCTGCGCTCGGGCATTTTTAAATGGGCGCGATGCTGCGCGCGGGTGCATGTTTTGTCTTGTTAATGCATGCAACGCAAGGAGAGCAGTTTTTGCAAAAGCGGAGATGGCATAGTAGGCTGCCTGGGATTGCATGGCTTTATCAGGTCTCCCTCCACTCAGACCCAAAGTTAATGGACTAGATGTCTTGCAAATAATAAGGCTTCCCCCTCCCGCTCCAGTATTTTGCAATCCTGCATTTTAGGATGATTGGTCACCACCAATTTATTATATTTCATATGTAACTCAAGAGCTGTAACGCTCCATCTTTTGGGGTCGTCGTCCCCCCCCCCCATTGCGATAATCTACTTTCCAATTTGCCACAGTGGAAACTCCGCCCCCCCCCCCACGGAAAAAGCATAAAATAGGCGGACCTCTTATAAAATCACTAGACTGCAATGCATCCAAAATATTATCAAGACCAACTCTCCTCCCCAAGTCACAGCCCCGATATGTGGAAATCTGACACGTTGAAGGCACTGTCCTCCAATTTGTCTCTTAGCCTATTAAAGCAAGCTAATTTTCCATTCCTTGAGGGCACGAGGAGAAGGGGAGGACAGAGGACGAGATGGTTGGACAGTGTTCTCCAAGCTACTAACATAAGTTTGACCAAACTGTGGAAGGGAGTGGAAGACAGGAGTGCCGGGCATGCTCTGGTCCAGGTTTCCTCAACCTTGGCCCTCCATATATTTTTTGGCCTACAACTCCCATGATCCCTAGCTAGCAGGACCAGTGGTTAGGGGTGATGGGAATTGTAGTCTCAAAACATCTGGAGGGCCGAGGTTGAGGAAGCCTGTGTGCTCCATGGGGTCACAAAGAGTCGGACACGACTAAACGACTAAACAACAACAACAAATTTTCCATTCTGGGCGAGAGACAACACTGTGCAGTTGAAAAGCCTATACACTTTTAGACTGATGTAAAATACAGTAGTGTTACTTTGCAATTATGGATATGCCTTTCTGGAGTTGAGGTTAAGCTTGACTGCTTTTATTATCTATTTATTCGTTACCTTTCGGAAAAGAGAACTCAAAGCGGCTAAAAACAAACAAAAAAATAACCCTGCAACACCACCGTCAATTTATTTGTATGCCGCCATTCCATAGTTTAAACCCTGCTCAAAGAGGATTACAACTTGAAAAGATTGGCATAATAACAAAAGTAGACATAATATATAAAACACCTCAAAAAGTACACAGGAAAATTGAACATTTCCTCATGAATCGCTAGTGATCTAAAGAAATAAATATGCAGAAAATTAATACCAATAACGGCAACAACAAAACCAACAAAATCCCCTAAACGATACCCCAGCCCAACATGATAAACTTCAAAACTGAGTTATTATATATGTGTGTTTAACAGCCGTTACAGGGCATCACAACACCTGAACTCACCCATGGTCATAAGAATGTTCAGTTAAAACGGAACAAAAGGGCTGGAGTTTTTTAAAAATATGTCTCTAGACACACATGACTAGACATAGACTAGGAAATACAGTCATACCTCGGGTTACAGACACTTCAGGTTGTGTTTTTTTGGGTTACGGACCGCCAAAACCCAGATGTACCGGAACGGGTTACTTCCAGGTTTCAGCTAAATCGTGCTCTGCGCATGTGCAGAAGCACTGAATCACAACCCGTGCGTGCGCAAACGCGCCACTGCGGGTTGCAAATGCTGCAGGTTGGGAACGTGCATCCTTCACAGATCACAGCGTCCACTGTATATCATTCCCCTTTCTGATTGAGGTCTGTCACCCAGAAAAACACACACACACACACTTTTAAAGGGAAATCATAGCTTATTTTTAAGCACCTCTTCTACTCTTGACTATGCAGCAGGGGAGGTCATGACCTCACCACATTAGGCTACATGTGCATTCTCTTCCAGTACCGGCCCTACCATTAGACAGAATGAGGCAACCTCCTTGAGCACCAGGTGCGAGATTGCAGAGAGCAGTGGCAAGATGGTGAGGGACAGAGCTCTGCATACCACCATATGAGCCATCTGACCTGCACCTCCTAAACTAAACTTGCCACCCTCAGGTGCAGTGGAAGGCTGTGTCATGACTCCCATACTGAAGTGAGATTGAGCTGCCAGCTTCTGGTCAGCTTCTGGGCACGGAATGGGAAGGGGCGCTGTTCTTTGCCTCAGGCGGCAAAATGTAACGGGCCAGCTCTGTACAGGATTTAAACTACAGTGGAGGCCTTCTTGACATGGAAATCGGGGCCTAGATGCTAGCCAGTCACTTTGAGGGCTGATGCAGAACGTGGCATCTTCTTTGTTCCTGGCTGGTATCTTCACAACCTGAGTTTCTACGAACCGCTTTGAGGGAGTTCATTTTATGAAGAAAGCAGGTAGATTAAAAAAAAAACACCCAGAAACATAAAATTGCTACCCCTCACTACATTGTTTTTCGGCAAAGCCACACATGTTTTTCGGCAAAGCCACACATGCAAGCCGTAGGCTGCTATCCTGGAGGTCACCCAAATACGAGCTACTGTGTGTTCAGCGTAGCAATATCAGCAAAATAATGCAGGAATGTCAGAAAAGCAATACAGTGGTACCTCGGGTTACATATGCTTCAGGTTACAGACTCCGCTAACCCAGAAATAGTACCTCAGGTTAAGAACTTTGCTTCAGGGTGAGAACAGAAATTGCGCAGCGGTGGCACAGCGGCAGCAGGAGGTCCCATTAGCTAAAGTGGTGCTTCAGGTTAAGAACAGTTTCAGGTTAAGAATGGACCTCCGGAACAAATTAAGTACTTAACCCGAGGTACCACTGTACTATGGATTAACCAGGGCAGCGGTTCTCAAAAGTTCAACGGCATGTCCAATGCACGAAGCCCATTAAGCCTCATCTTAAGCCCCATTATTTTTTAATACTGAATTTAGGCCGCCCTGGGCTAACATTTGTATGTTTATTGTATTTTAGTGTTTTGTTGGAAGCCGCCCAGAGCGGCTGGGGAAACCCAGCCAGATGGGCGGGGTATAAATAACAAATTATTATTATTATTAGTTTTCTTCCCCAAGGAATGGGTGGATAGCACACATGAGGGAATTCTCAGGTATGGAGAAGTCAGGAAAAGCTGAAGGAGGATCCCCCTCAAAGAGTGTAAAATACTATTGAGTATGCACGCCTTAATTTTTAACCTGCTCCATTCTTCTACATTGGAGGTTGAGGAAGACGGAAGGGAGCCGTAGAGGGGGTGAAGAGGGAGAGAAATTAACAGGAAGGTGGTTGTGGTGGCCATGCTCCTGCCTATAGCTGTCAACGTTTCCCTTTTTTAAAGGGAAATTCCCTTATTCCAAATAGGATTCCTCGCAAGAAAAGGGAAAAGTTGATAGTTATGCTCCTGACTTTGGACCTCTCCAGACTGGTGTTTTGTTCTGGGTGTATTCTGCAACATTTCCTTAAGAATAGTGTTGGATTTATTCCACTTTGTTCCCTGACGCTACCATGTCATCGCTTGTCTGGAAGGGCTAAAAGGTAAAGGTACCCCTGTCCGTACAGGCCAGTCTTGCCAGACTCTAGGGTTGTGCGCTCATCTCACTCTATAGGCCGGGAGCCAGCGCTGTCCGCAGACACTTCTGGGTCACATGGCCAGCGTGACAAGCTGCATCTGGCGAGCCAGCGCAGCACACGGAAACGGCGTTTACCTTCCCGCTAGTAAGCGGTCCCTATTTATCTACTTGCACACGGGGGTGCTTTCGAACTGCTAGGTTGGCAGGTGCTGGGACCGAGCAACGGGAGTGCACCCCGCCGTGGGGATTCGAACCGCCGACCTTTCGATCGGCAAGCCCTAGGCGCTGAGGCTTTTACCCACAGCGCCACCCGCGTCCCTACGGAAGGGCTACAATGCAACAAAAGTGGGACAACCACCCCCTGCCCAAAGAACATTTGTCGTATGAAAAGTTACAGGATTTCACCAAGAAGTTGCAGGTTGTGCGCTTGTTGGGAACGAAACAGTATGGCTGCCCCCAAAACCTTTGCAGTACAGAAAGCAGGACCGCACAGGCCTACCGTGAAAGCGTCATGAGCACAAATCATCACAAATGTGCAATAGAAAGGGGGGTGTTTGGTGGGGTCCTTAGGAAGGTATGATACCTACCCACCCACCAGTGTCTGAACCTGGATGCTATAGACAGGCCAGACAATCGCATCAGCATTAGGAGGGCGTGGGTCAGTGCTGGATTTACGTCTAAGCTAAACAAGCTATAGCTTAGGGCCCCACTCTCTTGGGGCCCCCAAGAAAGTTTAAAGGGGAAAACAACTGGATGTACATTTCCAAAATATAAGATAAAAAAACAAATAAAATAAAACCTACATACAGCAACAGGGGTGGCGCTGTGGGTAAAAGCCTCAGCGCCTAGGACTTGCCAATCGAAAGGTCGGCGGTTCAAATCCCTGCGGCGGGGTGCGCTCCCGTTGCTTGGTCCCAGCGCCTGCCAACCTAGCAGTTTGAAAGCACCCCCGGGTGCAAGTAGATAAATAGGGACCGCTTACTAGCGGGAAGGTAAACGGCGTTTCCGTGTGCGGCTCTGGCTCGCCAGAGCAGCAATGTCACGCTGGCCACGTGACCCGGAAGTGTCTCCGGACAGCGCTGGCCCCCGGCCTCTTGAGTGAGATGGGCGCACAACCCTAGAGTCTGTCAAGACTGGCCCATACGGGCAGGGGTACCTTTACCTTTACCTTTTACATACAGCAACAGTGTTTTGTGTTGTGTAGGCTCCTATGATGTAAGTAATGGGCCCCGCCTGCTCCCTAAAATATCACTGGTTTGCTCATTTCTATATATAGGGTGCCTACATTCTGCATGGACTGGTTGCAAGGCAAT